GATGAAATTATACAAGGAGATACACTCAAAAACACTATAAGTAAGTCCAGATGAAATCCTAAAACATGTTAAAGTAATCCACAGGAAGGCAAGAAGGGAGAAACAAAATGAGAACCAGAGGAGACAAACAGAAAACAGATAATAAAATGGTAGACTCAAGCACTAACATATCAATAATTATCGTAAAAGCAAATGATCTAAATACACCATCAAAAGACAGAGATTGACAGAGTGAATACAAAAACACATCTAGAAGAAACTCACTTCAAATACAATGATACAGGCGGGTTGAAACTAAAAGGATGGAAAAGATATATCATGGAAACATCAAAAGAAAGGAGTGGCTATATTAATATAAGAGAAAATAGACTTCAGAACAAGGGAAATTACTAGAGACAAAGAGAGATATTACATAAGGATGAAAGATCAATCCACTAGGAAGGTATAATGATCCTAAATGAGTACACACCAAACAACAGAACCTAAAAATAGATGAAGAAAAAGCTTATAGTGCTAAAAGGAGGAATAGACAGATCCACAATTATAGTTGGGGACTTCAACACCCCCCTCAGCAACTGATAGGACTACTAGCCAGAAAATCAGAAAGAATATAGAAAATCTGAGCAATACAACCAGCCAATAGGATATAATTGACTTAGATAAAGCACTCTGGTCAACAACTACACAATACACATTTTTTCCAAGTGTCTATGAAACGTTCACCAAGATCAACCATATCCTGGTCACAAAACAATCCTTAACAAATTTTAAAAGAATTGAAATCACACAGAGTGTGGTCTCTGATTGCAGTGGATTCCAACCAGAAATAAATAATAGAAAGGCAACAGGAAAATCTATAACCATGTGGAAATTAAACAACACACTTCTTTAATGAAAACAAAAATAGAACATATCAAAATAGTGAGATGTAGCTAAAGCAGTGCTGAGAGGAAAATTTATAGCAGGAAATGCCTATATTAGAAGTGAGGGAATGTCTCTAATCAATGGTTGAAGTTCATACCTCAAGAAATTAGAAAAAGAAGAGTAAAGTAAACCCAAAGCAAGCAGAAGGATGGAGATAATAAAGATAAGAGCACATATCAATATAATTGACGATAGGAAAAAAAAACAGAGAAAATCAATAAAACACAAAGTTGGTTCCTTGAAAAAGTGAATAACATTGATGAGGCTCTAGCAAGACTGACAAAAATAAAAAGAGAGGAAAATTTAAAAGCCACTTATCCCAGTAATGAAATACGTAATATTGTCATATATGTATACACATCCTGCAGTCTTTAAAAAGATAATAAAGGAACACTACAAACAACTTTATGCTCATGAATTCAATAATTTAGAAGGAATGAACCAATTTGTCAAGAGCTCCAAGCTACCAAAACTCAACAAAGATGAATATATAATCTGAATAGCTTTATCAACATTAAATAAGTCGAAATTGTAACTTAAAAGCTCCCAAAAAGGACATCTTCAGGCCCAGTTGGTTTTGTCAGAGAATTCTACCAAACATTTAATGGAGAATTAACGCCAATTTTATATAGTCTCTTCCAAAAAATAGAAACGGATAAAATATTTTCTGACTCATTTTATGAGGCCAGTATTACTCTGACACCAAAGCCAGATAAAGATAGTACCCCCACAAAAGTACCAACCAATATGTTTCTGAAACTTAGATGAAAAAATCCCCAACAAAATATTATCAAACCAAATCCAATAATGTATGAAAAGACTTACACACCATGACCAGGTGGGGTTCATTCCAGGTGTTCAAGGCCAGTTCAAGATTTTAAAATCAATCAATGTAATCCATGATATCAACAACCCAAGGAAGAAAAGTTATATGATAATATCAATTGAAATAGAAAAAGCATTTGATGAAATTCAAAACCTATTTATGACAGTAATTCTCAGCAAGTTAGGAATAGAGGAAATTACCTCACCTTGGCAAAGAGCATCTACAAATCCTGCAGCTAATATTATACGTCATGGAGAAGACTGAGTGATTTACTTCTAAGATCAGAAACAAGGCAAGGATGTCTGCTCTTACCACTCTTATCCAACACACTACTACAAGTTCTAGCACTATAATAAGGCAAGAAAAAGAAATAAAAGCCATATAGATTGGAAAGGAAGTAACAAATCTGTTTCTGCCTGCAAATGACATGATTCTCTATGTAAAAAATCCCATGGAATCTATGAAAAACTCATAGAACTAATAAATGAGCTCAGCAAGGTCACAGGATACAACATCAACACACAAAAAGCAGTCACATTTCTATATGTTCACAGTGAACACAGGGAAAAAGACAGTGAAAACACAATACCTTTTACGATCATTTCAAAGAAAATAAAAATACTTAGGGATACACTCAGCAAAACATGTACAGGATCTATATGTTGAAAATTATAAAATGTGATGAAAGAAATCAAAGAACACCTAAATACATGGAGACTATAGCATGTTCATGGGTTGGAAGATTCAACATAGTAAAGATGTCAATTCTTCCAAAATTGATCTGTGGATTTAATGTGCTTCCTGTCAAAACTCAGCCAAGTTTGTTTGTTTGTTTGTTTTTTGTGAGGAAGATTGGCCCTGAGCTAACATCTGTTGCCAATCTTCCTCTATTTTATGTGGGATGCCACCACAGTGTGACCTGATGACTGGTGTTAGGTCCGCACCCAGGATCTGAACCTGCAAATCCTGGGACGCAGAAGCAGAGTGTGCAGACTTAACCACTACACCACTGGCCAACCCCTCAGGAAGGTTTTCATGGGCAGAGAAGATTGTTTTAAAATTTAGTTGGAAAGGCACAGACCCCAGAATAGCTAAAACAATCTTGCCAAAGAAGAATAAAATCTGAGGAATTACTCTACCCAATATTAAGCCACAGTAATCAAGACAGTGTGGTATTGATAGAGGAAGAGGTACAGCGATCAATGGAACAGAATAGAGAACCCAGAGATAGACCCACACACATATGCTCAACCTATTTCTGACAAAATTGCAAGAGTGACTCAATTGGAAATGACGGCATTTTCAACAAATAGCATTGAAACAGCCGGCCATCAATAGACCAAAAACTAACCTCAACCTAAACCTCACATCTTGTACAAAAATTAACTCATAATAGAACTTGGATTTAAATGAAAGATTTAAAACTATAAAACTTTTAGAAAAATAATCATAAGAGAAAATATTCAGGATTAAGGATATGCAAGCATTTCTTAGACCTGACACCCAAAGCACAATCTGTAAGAAGAAAAATTGATAAATTGGACATCATCAAAATTAAAAATTTTTCCTCTTCCAAAGCCCATATGTAGAAGATGAAAAGACAAGCTACAGACTGGGAGAAAATATTTGCAAAACTCATGTCCAACAAAGGACTAGTTTCTAGAATATATAAAGAACTCTCAGAACTCAATGGTAGGAAATTAAACAGTCTAATTAGAAAATGGAGAAAAGACACACACAGATATTTTACTGAAGAGGAGATACAGATGGCAAAGAAGCACATGAAAAGATGTTCAGTATCGTTAGCCATCTGGAAAATGCAAACTTATACCACAATGAGATATCATTCCACACCCATCAGAATGGCTAAAATTTAAAAAATAGTGACAATGCAACATGCTGGTGAGGATGAAGAGAAGGTGGGTCACTCATACATTGCTAGTGGGAATGCAATAATCGTACAGCCACTCCGGGAAGTGGTTTGACAGTTTCTTATAAATCTAAACATGCAACTATGTATAACCCGGCAACTGCACTCTTGGGCATTTGTCCTGGAGGAATAGAAACTTGTGTTTACAGAAAAACCTTGCATGAATGTTCATAGCAACTTTATTTGCAATAGCCAAAAGCTGGAAACATCCCAGATGTCTTTTAAGAGGTGATTGGTTAAATAAACAGTGGTACATCCATACTGTGGAATTCTACACAGCAATGAAAGGTACAAACTATAGATATACATGACAACGTGGGTGAGTCTCCAAGGAGTTATGCTGAGTGAAAAGAGCCAATCTCAACAGGTTACATGCCGAATGATTCCATTTATGCAAAATTTTGGAAATGACAAAAGTTTAGAAATGGAGAACAGATTAGTGGCCACCAAAGGTAACGGACAGGGTGAGGTGGGGAGGAGAGTGGGGGCAGCTGCAGGGAGTTGGGTGTGGGTTTAACAAGGGCACCAGGGGGGATCCTTGTGGGGGCAGAATGTTCAGTATCTTGACTTTGGTGATGGATACACGCAGTAGACACGTGATACAGCTGAACTAAATACACACACACACACACACACACACACACACGAGTACAAGTAACACTGAAAAATCTGAACCCGATGGGTGGGTTGTATCAATGTCAGCATCCTGGCTGTGATATTGTGCTATAGTTTTGCAAAATGTTACCACTGAAGGAAGCTAGGTAAACTCTTCATAGACTCTCTCCGGGTTATTTTTTAAAACTGTGTAATCTACAATGATCTCAATCAAACTTCAATTAAAAAAGATACGTTTTCTCTCTGGCAGGGCGCCTCATTCTCAATGGAAGACCCACTAGATTGTGAGGCACCAGCAGAAAGTGACCAGTTAGAAAACACAGATTTTTGATGGGTTCTCTTGAACCCATTTCATCACAAGTACTGTCATCAACTCCCACCCCTGGCTGGTTCTGTTGATACATCCTCCATCACTCATGCTGCGTACAGGCATCCCCCAGCACCAAACAGGCCACAGGAGGAAAAACGTCTTGGGAAATTCGGGGGAGAGGGAGAGTCTTGGAAGGACAAATGAGGACCAGGTGGTAATCTATAGTTTCTGTCACAACTGGAAACCACAGTAAAAGTCACTGCTTCCTCCAGCCTACAACAATAGGCACGCACGGGTACCGACTAAAATGCACACAGAAGAAACAAAGAAGCCCTAAGACTGAATGAACCATGGTTTCTTGTAGTGCACAAGAAGGAGAACCCACTTCTACTCACAAAACTCTGGTAACCGGCTCCTCCGGGCTGTTCCACGGACCAGCAGCTTCAGCACCGGGGAAGTTGTTAGCAGTACTTACTCGGGATCTGCATTTGAATAAAGCCCCACCTTAAATTCTGAGAAGCACTGTCTTCGGGCAGCTCACGGATGCTCTCTAACTTAAAATCGCTCTCACCTATTTCCAGGTGAGCTTGTGTGAGTTGACTTCACCTGAGTTAATCTAGGAATAGTCCTTAAGGTCTGTCAAAGATAATGCATCACCAAAACATCTTTATGAAATATCCATTTTAATTTTCCCCTAATGGCTCTTGACCACGTGGCTGGAATTTGAGAGTGAGCTGGCGACCTGGTGGTGACCTGGCAGCCTCACCTGCTCCCTACTGAAGGCAATTTGATTGTCTGGGCGGGTGTCTCCTTTCCTCACCCCTTTGAGGAGCCCTGAGCTCAGTTGGAGAGGATTGTCCTTCCCCAAGAGAAGCTGGGTCTTGGGACAAAGATACACAGATATTAACAAGCCTAATAAGCCAAAATTCCTGTACCAATTCTGCCTATTTTCTAGACATTTCTAATGTTCTATAATTTCCTCCTTCTGATATAATTAATACATGACCTTGTTTCTGCATTCTCCTCGAGTTTCACCACTCACCTCCTCATCAGTATGATTCATCTTGATCCTTTTTATTAAGCTCCTAGAGACAGAGAGAGAGGTGTCATGTGTTTAAAAGGTATTCTGGGCAGTGTTTCTGGATGCTTCCCTGCTTCCTAATCTGACCTCTATCACACTGTTTTAAAATGCGCTCCTTGTGATATTTCCCATGACTTCAGTTGGTGTTCAGAGATTTGATACTGAAGAAAAATAAAGAGCTGATGCTTTTTTCCCGAACAATAAGCTTACTTCTCAAAAAGAAAATTCTCCGGTCTGGTGTGAGAAATCAACTTTCCAAAAGACTTGCGTAACTTCTAATTATCATCTTTCTCACAGCTAAGAGAGGAGCTGGACAAGAGAGAGCTACCAGCCAATGAGAATGAGGGATATTGGCCCAGAGATGCTAAAAATACAGCGGGGCTGGATATTATATTCAACTTGCCCTTTTAGTGCGCACAGAGCACAAACTAAAGATAGCTCCAAGCGGTAGCTGTAGGAGGCCGCAGTTTCAAAGTTACTCGGTTCCAGTTACCAGAGTGAGAAATCAAGGCCGACCTCTGCCTGAAGCAATATTTCCTTTCAGTAACACTAAAAGAGAAGGTCTCCCAAGCAGCGTCCCCTTGTGAATCCAGCTCACCCCATCACCTCGATCTCACCACCAGCAGCAAGGAGCATATTTAGAGGTGATGTTCCACAGATTTCGGGTATGTGTAGGATTTGAACCTGCTGGTCACGTGATGTGTTTATACCTGAAGCCAGCTCGGCAGATATTTGTAACTCCTGTGCACTCAAGACCTCCTACCAGGTACAAAACTTGTTTAGACATACCTGACACTTCACCTGCTTCAGAGATAAATGCAGGCACTTCTGTTATTTTTCCAAATTGATGCAAGGCTGCGGATGCCCTAATTAGCTAGAAATCAAGTATTTTACCGTTGAATCTGCAAGATCAAACCCAGTCTCATGCAAATTATCCAAATTTTCTCCATCCTGGGGCTGCCATTCTATTCCAAAAGTCTGACTTCCCTTGGTAGACAACACGAAAGAACTAAACTTGCAATCAGACCCTTGCCACAAGGGGTCGCTGTTCAACAGGGGAGCAGCATCGCCTGGTGGACGCTCCTTCGCCGAGATTCAGATGCCGGGGACAGCCCACATCCCAGCCGTGCTGCCGCGGTACCCCATGCTCACTCCACGTTAAAAGCTCTTGGTTCACCTTCACGTTCTTAGCAATGCTTCCCAACCACACCCCTTTGCACTGTGTCAAAATGAGCCACTCTGCAAATACTCAGGCCAGAGATGCGCAGACTTCAGGGCCCTGAGAAGCACTAAGACAAGCTAATTTATTTTAAAATGCACACTCCCAAGGTCTTCCCCAGCATTTTGTAATTCAATACATCAGGGATGAAGACCAAACACACATTTCTAATAGTCACAGGAGGCCTGTGGACACAGATTCTCTGCAGACCACACTTTGGAAAACCCTGCCTTACAACCGATGTCAGCCTAGTTTATCAGCCCAGACTTCCGTCCTCTCTCAGGAGGTCCCCGTGTGGACTTAGGGCCTTTTTCTTCCAGTGAATCTTGTCTGGGCCACCCCACTATACTCCAACAGATTTTCCCCACTAAGAGACTTGGGAATAAGGATCTGAAGTTTTCACCCTTTTTTAAAAAACTAGGAGCCTTCTCTCCACAACACACACGCACACAGACACATGCACTGTTCTTATGGGAATGTTCCTCTCTCGGCCTTCAACAAGAGCTTTACATACGCAGAGGCAGCCTGGCTCCCCAGGCAAGGGAACATCTGTATAAGCAAACAGGGCCCTGGGCTGATACCTCACAGAGCAAACGAGGCTTGTCCAAAAGTGACTTTCTATCACTGTGAAGACAAAGTCCCAGAAGCTTCTCTCCTAAAAAATAAAATAAGGGACTACGAGTGTAGACCCCATCTCTGGCTCATGCATATGTGGCTCAGTCCTTAACTCACTCTCCTGCTGGCATCTCCCTGCAGCACTGCAGTCGCCCTGAGGGCAGGGCCATGTCTGTCCTTGTCGTGACTCTCTCACGAGTGTGGCTCAGCATAGTGTTGGGAGCATAGGAGACGCGTTGACAAACATGTGTCAAATTTAACTTAAACCAACTGGACAACCACCTAAGTGCCACTGTCAGAATTGGGGCTGTTCCTTAGGAACCTCATGGTCCCCTGTACTGGTCAGCAAGGCTGCTGGCTGACCTGTCCAGTCTCGGACCTTCTGATAAATGGCAGGACCGGACATGCTGGGCTCTGGGCTTGGGTGGGGTTGTATGTCTGGTTCTGGCCACTGAGTTGTGAACAGAAGGGACGAGAGTTACCTCCAGTCCATGCAGTTAATTTCTGGCATGAGACCCTCCAGGGCTCGCTTTCCCGCCAGCACAACCTCCAGCAGCATCTAGGAGGGTGACTTAGCCTGAGTCCCTGAGTCACTATAAAGAGCATAGTCTCTTGTCAACACGTCCTGTGGGTGAGAAACGTTCTTGTGCTGTTTTCCATGAAGGACGATGGACTGTTTGTTACAGCAGTGTAGCCCAGCCTGTCCTAACTGATGATGTAGCCAGAGGCCAGGGCAGGTCAGAGGGTCAGGAAATCATTCCTGCAGAATGGGGAGCACGGGCAGGGGTTAGGGATCAGGCCACAGCCATCAGTCTAGGTGACAGGGACCCCTGGGCTGGCTGTGTATTAGGCAGAGAGCCACGGCTGGCCCCACCCAGTGATGCATTGTTGGCACATATGTATGTATGAGGGGCACTTGTTTCCCCCAATCTCTCCAGCCAACTGGTCTGCCTCTGAGCCACTGCCCAGGCCTGTTCCAGCTCCACAGATCTGCTGGTTTCTCCCCTGCAGACCTGCCAGACTGCTTTGTCCAAGAGAGGCCTTCGAGGAGCTGTGTTCTGGAGGATCACCCAACAGGTCACTCCTGAGGTCAAGTTCACTGGGGACTGAAAACAGTCAATGATCTCAGGAGCTTAAATATCGATGCCTCCTTTTTGCTTCTCTCTGTCCTGTTAGCCCAAATGCTCCACTCCAGGCAGAACCAGTGGCCCTGGGAGGCAAACGGCTCTCAGTGTCATTGCTCCTCTTCCCCTCTTTATCCTATCCTACCTTCCTCCAGGCAACCAGCATTCTCATTTTCTCTTCCTGTCCACACTCTCAAGGCTCTGTCAGGTCCTCAGACCAGCTGCAGAACTTCTCCAAGCCTCACCCTCCTCCGGGGCAAAAATTGGACCCATCACGTCTAACTCACACAGTCACTGTGAGCCACACTCGGTAAAGCACCTGAGACCCAGAAGATGCTCAATGACAACCTACAAGGTCTTCAACCTCCCGAAGGAGCCATGACTTTGTCCCTGTTGACGAGGGACCCCAGGCCCAGGTTGGCCCGCATATCCCCATGGGCGCTACCCCGTCTGGGCCACTGCAGGCACCTGGACACAATTTAGACACTCGCTTCCTTTATTTTAGCTCTGCAGTTCATGGAGCCGAGCCCTGAGTGTGAACTGGGCCCCCTCAATAATTTACTAAAAGCAAGCTTGGAGGAGACTCATCGGAAGCTAATGAAAAGAAAGTTTTCTCTTCTCTGCTTTGAAGACAATGTCAGGAAATCCATGGCTAGACGTGTTGCTCAAGACCTGTCTGATGCATTTCTCTTCACGCCCTGGAAGAAGCTTGCTATCCACTTCTACACTCACTTAAACTAGCATCAGGGGCAAGCAACGCCCAGAAATGCCAAGGTCCACAGTTGCGGGTGCCAACTGAAGCAAGTAATAAATTCCTTGTTCTAAAAAATGTAATTTATTCCTTTGTGTTGTTCAGTAGCTTTTAAAATCCTACTTACCCATCCCTGTTTCATTACAAATACCCTCCTCAGAGTCAGAGAAATTACAGCTCATTATCTTGCCTAATTTGCATGCTTCCCAATTATATACGTAGCAATACAAAACACAAGAATACAAACGTTTAGCTGCAAACAATGATTTAAGTCTGCAATAAACGACTTCCTTTATTTCCATCACCAGTGTAATTCTCGATCTGGTCGCCAGACACAAACAAGAGAGCAAACCCATTTTGGACAACGGAGTTATGGTTCTTTGAGGGGCTCTTTATTCCCTAAAGCATCACACCAGGGAGAAGGCGTTTAGACAAAGACAAAACCCACGCAATAAAAATACCTTTCAGCTGTTAATAGGAAATTCAGATGGCTCTGTTGCAGGAAGGTTTTTCTGGCTGGGAGCCTCCCAGTTTCCAGCACTTCAGCCCTGAAAGTTCTGGAATTGGAGGGAGGGGGGATGTTTTGCTGGTTTGGACTGGGGCGTTAGATGGAGGAGTTAAGGAGTCAGAGGGGTGGTGGTCTTTGAGCAGAAAAACAAAAGAAAACGCTTGCACTGTATTCCCACCCACTGGATCTGCCATGTTGGACTTGAGAAGTTCACCCTCAAGGGGTCAAGAAGACCCCTCTCCCACCACCTCACTCCCACGGAAAGCCCCACAGAAATCCCACCTTTCCTGGCCTGGACCCCATGGTCCAGCACTGAACTCAGGTTTACACAGCCAACTCTCATTTCCCTTTTCCTTCGCTCCCTCTCACCCGTCTCCAGCTCCAGGACATTCCACACATCTGTGTTCTCCGCACTGGCCACCTACTTAGGAACAGTTTGAGACGAAATCCATTACCAAGGCACTCGTGCCACAGCAATGTCTAGTTTCCTGTCTCAGCTGGGTCTTCAGTGTTGCTTGGCAAATTTTTTTCCTCATCTTCCTTCATCTCTCTTTTCGTTCGCAGCCACAGATATACCAGATAGTCACCATACGAAGTGCTAAACAGGAATATTAGTGTCCTAGGGCTTTCAGAAAAATTACTGCACGTGTGGTGGCTTAAAACAATGGGAATTCATTCTTTCACAGCTCTGGAGGCCAGAAGTCCAAAATCAAGGTGTCAGCAGGGTTGGTTCCTTCCGGAGACTATGAGGGAGAATCTGTTCCATGACTGTCTCCCAACTTCTTGGGGTTGCCAGCAATCCCTGACG